ACAATTACTAAAGTAGAGGCTGGGGCAACAGCTCCGTGGTAAGAATGCTGGCTGCTCTTGTAGAGACTCCAGGTTCAGCTCCCAGCACCCACAACCCACAATGGGTGGCTCATAGCCACCTGCACCTCCAGCGTCTGGATCCAAAGCCACAGGCTCTCTTTGGGTCTCACAGGTGTCTGCCAACACATACTCACACACAGATAAACACAAATTAAAAAACATAAAGCTGGATATGATGGCGTGTGTGCCTTTAGAAATGGAGGCAGACAAGTCAAGAGTTCAAAGCCATGCTCAGCTTCAGAGTGTGTTCAAGGCCAGCTGGACTGTGAAAGGCCCAGCCTCAAGAGCTAGGATCCTGCCACTGAAGATACCACAACACCTTGCTCCTGAAGAGAGAATTTATTCCTGGTACTGCAAACCTAATTAAAAAATCATGGCTAAGGATACCTTAAGCCCTCAGGGTAAGCGTGATACTGTTGATTACCTAGATTGTCATGGTCCCAAATGACCTTCTAAATAGTTACAATTATCCCCATAGACCAAGGCCACTTTAATCGGAAAGGCTTCTCTTTGCAATAAATAGCAGTGAATGCAGGGGCTCCTGGCTGCTCAAGGTGCTGAGGATAAGTAACAGTTGAACGAGCAACACTGAAAAGACATTTATACTCTCGCTAAAGCCCGGGCAGCCTGAGATGGCAGATGATGGGGTAGAACAAACATAAGAGTCAGAGGATAGGAAGGGCCATGGCATTTTGTCTTCTAGGCGAGGCAAAGTTAGTCAACACAGTCATGACCCCACAGACGCTGTGCTGGCTTGCAATCGACCAGCACAGGACTGGGCCAATCAATAGTCACTCATGGAAGAATTTAAAGGAGTCTATCCTTTACCCATGGACTATTGGCAATAGGTGACTTCTAGGGAAAGAGATGTCACTGTCTTCAGTTGTGTGCCCACTGAGAAGCCACTAGGCTCCAGCTATATAGTTCTAGAGCCACGGCCACACATGATTCTGGGTAAACTCAGTAACTCTCAGACAAAACAGCAACAAAGCCACAAGAATAAGGAGGAGACTTTCAGGAATGAGGGAAAGGGTAAAATGGTGGAGGTTGAGTAGAGAGGGTTATAATAATTAGAATAACGTTATACATGTATGGTTTTCTCAAAGAGCAAGCTCAATAAAGATTTTTAAAAGCATACTGCAATTCCTTCTGTATGTATAGGTTAGATAAAGCCTGACTCCTTGCTATGAACCATTCTACCCATTCCAAAGCAAAATATGATTTCTCTAGTGACGGTTGTTCAATTACTCTGCTTGAGGACTTATTTAAACCACATTAGGAGGTGGGGAAGAGGTCCTAAGCATGGGCACATTCAGAGTGACACGCCACATGGTAAGAAGGAGCATCAGCAATGAAGCCACAGCACAAGGACAGATGCGGCCAAACCAAGGCCATAGTCAGAGAGGCCAGCCAAGCCACAGGCACACGCGGCTTCAGACCTGCTGAGTTTAAGTGAGTCACAGAAGTAGTGGAATGCTCTCTAGGAAATTTTAGAGAAAAGAGTGTCTAGATCAATTTTTTAAAAAAGTTTCACTAGGTTTGGTAGAGTAGGAAGAGCAACTAGAAGATTGTGCTGGAGACCTTGGCGACATGGGCAGTGAGATAATGGGGAGAAGTGCTGGGGCTTAGGGATATTTTACCTTGCTGCTGATGGGCATGGGGCATGGTAAAGGCTGCCTTGCAGGACAACTGTAGGAGACTCCCAGAGCAGACTGTGGGAGAGCAGTGTAAGAGAACCAAGACCCTAGTTTCAGGTTGCTGTAACTGTGTGATATGTATTTGTGTCTTCAGTAGACACACCAAGGAGGCATCTGGATGTAAGACTGGAGCCTGGAGAGCTCGGTGCTGGGAGCTATGACGTTGCTACTAGTGTTTATAGGTAATGCTGGGGCTGGTTGAGATGAAAGCTGGAGGAGCTGGCCTAGGGCAGAGCCCTTAGCTTCCTTCCCATTGAGAATCTGAAAACAGAGATGCAGTCATCAGAGGAGGCTGAGGTGATGTTGTCGGGAGGAATGTTATCCAACAAAATTTACCAGAAGCCACAAGAATGAACTGAGTGCCCTCAGTCGAACGCAGGGAGGGCGGCACTCAGGATGAGGACAGAGTTATCAGATGTGGCAGAGAGGAAGGATGCTAGAGGAAAAGGAGAGACGTTCATAAGGATAGCCACTACAAATGCATTGAAAAAATATTAAGATGATGCTTTTGCTTGCTGCAAAAGGCAGGGATGGGGATGTGAGAAAGCACTTGCAGGCCCAAAAGACCAGAAATACTAACGGAGGTTTGAACACTAGTGCCGTGGATTCAATGGAGAGGAAGAACTGAGTGGTGTGTACTGAAGGAGGAGTGGGAGGGAGAGAGACAGACAGAAGGATCAAGAAGTACTTAGAACAAGAGTGGGACCTCCCCACCCACCACAACCAGGAGAGCCACCGCGTAGCGTATGCATTTAGATGCGCGTAAGCTGCTGCATTTGGGGGCATGTGCAAGAGGTCATCTGGAAACAAGACAACACAGCATATTAGGAGATACTAAATCTAGTGTGTATCGAGTGTCATAGTGAGGAGACACAATGTTTTAGCATTCTGATGAAGAATAAGGCAGTAGAGGGAATTTGAGCTATGCCTTACATGGCATGGCATACCTGCTCTACCTGCTGCCACCGTGCTGGTTACCTGCACCTTATCAGTCCGATCGCTTTACTGTGCTATTCCTTGATAAGCTTCCTCCTTATTCCTTGATAAGCTTCCTCCTGCCATCTCTATTGTTTCTGCTTTATCCTTGGTCTCTAGGCTGCACTTCCCAGTGCACTGGCACTCATCCCTAACATATCTGTCTATTACACATAGGCCTTAATATCTCAAATCATGTTAAGACTTTGGGATAGGGTCAAGTATCTTACAGTAAAATGCCACTGTCTCTCCCGATGTGAAAAATCTCCTATTAGATATGAGGTAAGTATTTAGTACCTGCTTGTTGACCAATTTATCTTTTTAGAGTTGAATGGCTAATAAAACGCTTTATGTAGCAATTCCTCCGCTAATAGAATATGCACAATTCTTCTCGGCACCTGCTGGGCATTTCTGGGAGATGCTGCAATCATTCATCAATTTTCTCCTTTATGTGTTATTCAATTAGTTTGTCTAGGGTGCAGCCTGGAAGGAGTATCAATCAAGAGCGTAACTGCGAGTTGTGTGCAAGCTCTCTGCACACTAATGGTCTGCACCTAGTTCTAGCAGGAAAGGCTCCTGTGACTCACATGCAGGCTCAGCTTTGAGGAGGAGGCAATATGAGAGACTCAGAATGGCCCAGTGCTACTGTTTTCAGTAACACAGTGATGAATATGAAATCGATCTGTTATGTACTTAGTGAAAGAGTGATAGTGTTGCTAGAATTAGCCAAGAGTCATAAACATTGTCTATCTTGGACTCTCTTGGGTTGAACGGTTCTGCAAAGTGTTCATGCGCACACAATTTCTACTGTGTTGACTTTTACAAATTATATATATTTAATTCTTATTTTAATTCTTAACACTTAGGCACAACTAAGCTATTTGGACATAATTATACTTAAGTAAGTATGCAAGTATTACATATGTATATTTCTTAAAGTTAGTAACCACACTATCATACAATAATAACCTTTAATTTTGTTCAACAGGTTACCGAGGCAAGCTAATGAATTATCAATCCAAGTAACAATCAAACATCCCAATTGCACACAACACTCTTTAGAACAGCTTTGTTAACTATTGTAATTTTTAAAGTTATTTTTAGACAGTGTCTCAAGGTAGTCCAGGCAACCCTCCAATTCTCTAAGTAATAAAGGATAGACTTGAACTCCTGATCTTCCTGCCTTTGACTCCTGAGTGCTGGGATTTACAGGCATGGGTCTCCCACCATGCCTGCTTCACTTTGGCTGGGGATTGAACCAAGAGCTTCGTGCATGCTAGGCAAGTACTCTGTCAACCGAGCCATTCCCCCAGTCCAATTATTATAAATTTTTGTCATTCTATGCTGGAGTTATTGACAAGATGAGCTATTTTGTTTGTTTATGCAAGACACATGTTGGCCAAAGTCAAATCAAACATAATGGAATATATTAAGAGACAAAATTTTGTATTGTATGTAACCTATGACAAAACATTATTAGGCATATTTTTGATTGAATTTGCATTAAGCAATATGCTGGGAGAATCTTTTAAAAACAGTTGCATTAAGCATTACAGAAGAAATCTAGTGAATTCAGTGCAATGCATATAACCCTTTGGAGACGCCAATCTTCAGTCCTTGTGCCTAATAGCTAACCCTGGACATGAGTAACCTTAAGGCTCTCCAACTGTTCTTTAAGATTTCTATCTATCCCTCTAACATACACAGATTTTTTTTATACTGCTCTTCCTCCCATAGATTAGATTCTGGCTAGAGATAATAGCAGTGTTCATACTGTTCATTAAAAGAATAAATCCAGACAATTTAAAAGAAATTTTATATTTAAAAACAAACTGCTATCCATTGACACTTTTGAGGGTTTTTGGACAGAGGAAACAAAATGTACTACTAAGAGTTCTTTTTTACCTCTTAAATTACCAATAAAAAATATACATCTTTCTTGGGAAACTCTTTTCTTCCCCACAGAGGCAACATACCCTAAAATGGAGATTAATAAGCAATTAATGACTCATACTTAACTCAATATTGCAAATGTGCTGGTATAATATCTTGCTAAATATAAGAATTTTGAGAGCCCGAAAATTAAAGACTTTGATGTGTGTAAGATCAATAGACGTGACTTATCACTATTTAATATCAGTTTTAATTTTTAAATGCCATGTTCCAGTGGAAAAAAGTTTACTGCACAGGAAAATTGAAATTCCAAGAAAGAATTCAGACAAAAGAAACAAACTTTATATTAAAGCCCCGTTAAGAGGTCAGACTTACGCGGCAACCTCTTCCTTCGACAGGCCTTTGAAATTCTGCTCCAGGTAATGATCTATGTCGTCTTTCTCTTTGATCAATCGAGCCCTAAATGATATGGAAAAAAATAATAAAATATCGGCTGACCAAATTGAAGAGCTTCTAAACGCACAAAACAGTACGAGAAGGGAAGTTGTTTTCGGCAGATAAAGCATCGGCGGTGAACGCTCTGCCCCAGCTGTAACCTAAAGTTGTAAGGGTCATTTCCAAAACCTTCACGGTAAGAAGTTCGGGAAGAGTAGATCCAGCGGGCAGAGGGAGACACATCAACAGAGCAACAGGTCACGTGCTAGAGTAGCGGCGTTTTCTCGCAAAGCTTGCACTGTCTTCTGTCTCACTCCTGGATTTTGCTGTACAACCCTCTCCGCTATTTTCTTTGGTACAGGACCTTGAGTCAAAAACTACTGATTATACAAATGTGTTAAACATGTGTGTTCCAAACACTAGCAAAGTTTTCACTGGAATGCTCTTTGAAAAGGTTATTTTCCGCACTTGTTCTGTTTGTTTTGTTCTTGTGTTTCAGACAGCTCTCACTGGACACCCAGTCCTGTCAACCGGCTGCCTCAGCCTCCAGGCACTGGTCAGTTCCGAGTGTGCCCCATCATGCCTTACTAAGAACTTGCTTGTTTTTTTTTTTTTTCTTAAATCACACATACATCTCTAACTATTGAGGTTCAAGATGCAAACAATTTAAAAGAGACTTCATTTAAAAATATGTTCAATATTAGCACCTATATTTTTTTTAAACAAAAGTGCATTAAATTCCCAGAACCTGTGTGGACAGTGCTAAACGTCCCCAAACAGTAACGATTTACTTAGAGTTTTTATTAAAGAATGTTTGTAAAACCATTTTCCCAAATAATAACCATGAAAATATTTTCTTTAATTAAGATTCTTCGTAAAATCCATCTTAATTTTAGGAAGTGAAATCAGTTGTGTTTATTGTTCACTTAGAAAATAGTATATCTGTAATCTTAATCACTGAAAAGTAAGCAAGACGGAGCAAGCTTTTCAAATTTTGTAAATATTTCAAAAATTAAACACACAAAAGTATGTCTACATGCACTATCGAAAGATTTCTTACCTTCCGAAAGCCAAGTATTTGATTTACAGTTTTAAAAGAATATTTATGTTGGTTTGGTTATGAATATGCTTTGGTTCAGGGGCTTTGGTCTTTCTAGGAGATACTAAAAATGAGACGTGATAACAAAGAAATCTTGCAATAATTTGATTGTCATACTTTGCAGGAATTGACACAATGCATAAAAAGAAAATGGCAAAGGGTCCATCTGCAAAGTCTTTCTAGTTATTAGCAATGTGCGCATTTCTAAGAGTCAATACCCTGACAAGTGGCAACCTTGAAGTATCTCAGTATCTGTTAATAGCCGGAAATATGATAACTGAACCAATTTCTTCTTCTGCATTTTGTGACAGCCCCAGCAGCTTGGGAGCCGTCCTCAGCATCCTCAGATCCTCAGCATCCTCAGCAGCAGCAGTAGAGGATTTTCATTTTCAGATTCCATTGTCATTTCATGAGCTAAATCCTGCCTGCCAATGTAGCCCACTCGGAAGCAATTTCCTATTTAAATAACTCCCCAAAACAGAAGTCAGCCCATAAGACTTTGTGAGCTAAGATGTCTTCATCTTAAAGCTTCTGCTTCGGTCCCTCTGTGCCTTTATCAAAAAGAAAACATCTCAAAATTCTGTAGAAAACATAAAATAATTTCATAGGAAATAAAATTATTAAATGACCACCAGCCTGGTAAACACTGGTTATATTTTGAGCGAGATTCATTAAGCCTTTCAAAACAATGAATTTGGACATTTTACTATATAATGTATTATCTCTTTTCCTTATGCAACTGCAATTTTTGAGATGTGCTACCGACATCCATGATTGCCAAAACTGTACTCTGTAGGATGAGAGAAGAGAAGCAGGGACGCATACCTTGGAATTGTTCCTGGAGAGCATGGCAGTTTCTGCCTGGCCAAGACAGCAAGCCTTGTACGCGCCACAGGAACTGGGGGGAAGGTGGTCATTGGTGACTGCAAAATGTAAGCAGAATGATGGTTTTATAATAGGATAAATCTTTAAAGAATCCACGAAGACAAGATATCATTAGCAATGAATTGGGTGTTGTCTGAGGTGAGGATGCCTCTCTATGTCGAGCTACTGCTTTTGTTAGGCAGGAAAGCTACTGAGAATGGATCCCGCAGGCTGCGCCTCTCATCCCCTCCACTGTCTGTCTTTTGCACAATCGTCTGTACCTCTACCCCAAAGTGGCTTAGGAGAGAATCCATAAATACATTGATGGTTCAGCTTTGTAGATAGTTCTGTTAAGGGACATGGTAACAACGCAAGAATGAGGTCACTGGCTTCTGCGATTCATGTTTGACTTTCACAACCGATGATGGAGATTAGGTCAGATTTTGCTGTTTTCTAGAAACCTCAACACTCACAAATAAAGGTTTCCCTTTAAAGTGGTAGATGCTAAGACTGATTCCCAGGAAGAAGGCAGCTTCCCTGAGGAACCAGATAGCTAAAGCACGTAATCATTTCAAAATGCATTGGCTTAAAAGTTGTTTAAAGCCACTTTCTCTCTCACACCTAGCTTTTCTTTGACCCTAAATCACTGGAACCTCTTCTGTATGTTAGAAGCTTAAGTAACCCAACTAAGGACAAGGCTCATCTCCACTCATTTGTCTGGTGGCAAGGGCCACCAGCAGGGACCCCAGGCAGAGCTGTCCTCCAGAGCACATACATGTAATGTGGTCATACATTTTTGGTTTTCTCATTGCATAACAGCCTCAGAATTTCTTAGGGACAACACAGGGCTCCAAAGGCAAGTACCCCAAAGACATAAAGCCAAATCTCTCTTAGGTTGGCCTGTAGTCCTCATAGCATCGCTTCCAGTAGTGACAAGCCTGTCCAGACACAGGTCATGTGAATGCAGAAACAGTCACCTGAGGGAGACTGTCACTCCTACTTAAAGAAAAGAAAGGGGTGGAGGGAAAGAGAGATGGCAGCCTTCTCCTGAAGCGCATTATGCTGTAGTTGTTGCATTGAGAAAGGAACACCAATCAAGTTACTGAAACTTTGTCCTCAGAGAAAGCAAGGTGGAGCAGGCTGTGGTGGTGCACATCTTTAGTTCCAGCATTTGGGAGGCATAGGAAGGCAGATCTCCAAGTTCGAGGCCAGCCTGGTCTATAAAGTGAGTTCCAGGACAGCCAAGGCTACACAGAGAAAACCATGTTTTGAAGAAAGGGAAGAAAAGAGAGCAAGGTGGGTCCTGGTGTCTGGAGGACCTGCAGTAGAGAGTGTCCATTGTGACGCGGGTCTCAGCGGCAGAGTCCACCCTCTACCTAAATAGAGAGACATTAAAAAGTCCAGATGCTCCTCGCGCCAGAACTACCATGTGCACCAGCTTTGACTCCTCCCATCACCAGCTACCTGGAAGACTGCATCAAAGCTTCAAATCGCTTGTCACCAGCATTGTATACCCGTGTGATCTGTAGTAAAACTATCCAGTTAGGCCTCGAATGTTCAACAGATTATCCACTGAGCCACTATTTTGGGACAGGCACTGTCCTAGGTACTGAAGACACACCATCCAGCAAAAAGACAAAGATCTCTGATCTCATGGAATTTCCATTATGGAAATGGATATTGAGAAAAGCAGACATCAGTTACATAAGCAAAATAGACCACAGCATGGCAATAAAAAGACCTTGTAGGAAAATTACAAAACAAATGTTAAGCAATAGCAGAGGGGAAGTAAGATGAGAAGGGCAATGAAGTCAACATTTAGGGAGGCAGAGTGCTAAGTCGCTATAGAAACTCTCAGGTTTTCCTGACTGACATAAGAATTGATTTGGGTACTCTTTCTGCTGTAGGTCCTCCAGATGCCAGGATCCACCCTGCTTCTGGTGGGACGACACAATCTCAAGCTCACTTTGAAAAGTTTACCCTGGCCTCTCCTGAGGTCATAGGGTAACAAACGCTGGATACAGAATGGGTGCCGGGGAGGCTGCTGGGGATCTGTCAGGAGAGGTTGGGAGGGAGAAGCAGAACTGAGAGATGCCGTCAGACATCCACACAGTGGAGTGCTGTAGTATCGTGACACTCTAGGGCTGGGGTACGGGGAGGAAACTCTAAAATTTGAGGGGAAATATTGTGAAAGTCAGTATTGATAGTGTTGGTCTCAAGTTCCTAAAAAAGATGATCACATTGAACTAAAATATTTTAACATAATTAAAGGGAAATTTTAAATATATATTAGTGTTTTATTTTTGATACACTAGAATCCTATTACCCTGTTTATGCAGACTTGATTAACTGCATGAATCAAAAGGCAACTTTTTCTATGCATTTGTAGCCTGTGCATAATATGCAGTTAAAACACAGTCTAAACACAAAGTATTGTTTTCTTTCTGCAGAATAGGCACCAGAAGTGGATATTATTACAAGGGATAACTTTATAATATAATGACTTAGCTCTCTTGTAACTTAAAAAGATCTGATTTTTTTTCTGATCAAATGTTATATCAATAAGTTGGTTTATCTGGATGCCCAGAACTTATTCAATCAAAGTCTTACACATACACGTGTTAAGGAGTTTTGACTAGCATAGGAAAGCTCTCATGGATGTTTTTGAATGAATACACAAAGGCTCCTCAAACCCGATTTCCAGAAGCTTACTCCAGAATCTATGAAGCCTTTCTTCCAGAGTATTCAGTGCTACAGAATAAATGGGAATGTACTTAGTCTCGGTCCCCATCGATGCCCAGTGCATTTTTAAGAGAGACAACAACTAGCCCTTCCTCTGTTCAGCACATCCCACAAATGAATACACCCTGAGGCCCCATTCTGCTTTCCAGAATGTTATAGGATGGGAACTAGAGCCTCGGGGTCTTCACAGCTCCAGAAATCTTTAAAGGATTCATGAAGAGCTTCTCAAATGCTGGGAAGACTCAGCTATGTGCAGGCAGATGGAGCAGCCTCCAGAAGCTCCAGCATGGCCAGCATATATCCTTGTCACCCCTCAAATTAGGTCTTCCAGTATATTATACAAAACCAAGAGGGTTAGCTGAAGTTTGCAAGGCAATATAAGCTTATAATGAAGCCAAATGCGAATGATATACATGGAAAAGAATGTGTCTTCTTTGTCACACAGATCAACTGCGATTTTTTCCCCTTCAAATTCGAAGTCAACGTTTCCCACCATTAAAGTTTCAGCTGCCAGTTCCTTCACTTTGCTCTCCTCTGATCTGAGAACATGAGCAGCGGGAACACCTTTACTCTTAAATTTAGTTTAATGTAAGTATTGCAAGCCCTGCTGGCAAGCCTCAAGGCACAAACTCGGAATGAGGGGTGGTCAGAGCTGAATTATAAAGTGGGGGAAAAAGTTATTAACTGCATGTTGGAAAAATGTTGCTCAACCCATCTGTTTTGGAAAGTTGAAGCTAAGCATTAGGGTGGATGTCTAGCAGCCTCTCTCCTTGTTCTGAGCCCACACCCTACTTTGCTTATGGTTTATGCAAAGGTGCTTTGTTTATTATAATCAATGTGTGGTCATCACTGTATTTATTTATGCAATAAAAAGTGTGCAGCTTGAACCACATCTTCATGTGGGATTTGAAATATACTCAGTATTCAGTGTGATCCTGGGTCAAATTCTCTTCCTAGGTTACTGTCCTCCCTTTCATGCCTCATCAGTTTGGGCTTATTGATGCAGACATTTATTAAAGCAGGAAGTAGCTGCATTGTCATAAGGAATGAGGAAATGGTGGGGGAAATGCCAGTGTGTCAGGGAGCTATCATACATAACCCCATACAAAAAGGTGGGGTGTTGTTTGTAGAGTGACAAAAGCTTCTTGTTCACTGTGAACGTGACTTGAGTCATTCCCCAGCATTCCCAGCCTTTGGCATTCTAACCTCAACTCAACAATGAGGAATTTAGTCCGCTCCTGCTGTGCACCACCTGCCTAGGTCAGCAGCAGAGATGGAAGTCATCCCCAACCCCTTGGCCATGGTCTACCCCAACCGGTGCCCACAGAAGAAAGCTGCAAGAAGGGCAGTCGCTCAGGAAAGGGAGAAGGAAGTGACCAAGATGTGCTGAGCCCCTGGAACCCAGTTCAAGCAGTGCATGAGGAGGGCCCAGGGGCATCGCTCCTCCCTCCGGTGCCAGCGAATGGGCAGTGTTATATGTGGCACCACAGGAGCTGAGACAAAGATCAAAAGGCCGCCTGAAGCCATTCCACAGTTGGTATTCAGAAAAGATTTGGCACATTCTTTGATCTGCTGGTTGGCGCTCACATCAGCCGCAGTTACAGCCTCCACGTTTGGCCCCACATACAAAGACAAATGAGAATGGGGAAGCAGAGGATGAAAGGCTTGGGAGCCCGGGTCAGGCCGAATGTGTCCTACGGTGTGAGTGGAAGTTTCTGGACCCAAGTGAAACTTCAAAGGGTAACCCTCCTGCCCGCTCCCCCTTGACCTGCCCCCAAAGGAGCCACAAAGGAGGGCAGGTGACTGCATCCACAGAGGCTGCTTAGAGAAGGCTATGCGTGAATGACAAGACCTCCAGGTCCAATCGCTGTACAGCGAAAACAGAGGTGTGAGAAGCAAAGGCGACAACTCCAGCGAGCAAGTTCATTGTGTACCACCGAGAAAACGCCAAATATATGATATCCCCACACTGTAGATTCGGAACATTGTATGTAAGAGTTCTTTTGCTACAAAAGACGAAAGAAACTGCAGGATACATTTAGTAGTTTATACCTCTCACAAGAGTGAAAAACAAGTTCACATAAATAAGTTTAAAACTTTTGGACACTCTTAGCACCTTGTGGTGGACAATTGGATAGGTTGTGAATTAAGTAGCAATCACACATTTCCCACCGCTTGACATTTATTAGTGACTCAATCAAAGCATCCAGTAGAAGGGAGGACATATTTCATCCAACTTACATTTGCAGATAACGGATCTCTCTGGGCCCTCGGGTGCCAGTCTGCAAAATCAATAAGCAAAGTACAAAAGCAAAGGAAAAAGAAAAAAATACTCAGTAAAATACTTCCTCCCTACTCCCCAAATCAAGAAACAAAACTCACCCAGACGGGTGAAAAAGAAAATTAGTAAAAGTAGCCAATATAAATTTAGAACTGAAAAGTGAAACGCTCCAATTAGTCGCTATGGAACTATTCACTAACTCAACAAAACGCCCCCACCCCCCACCCCAAACAGCAGAACTACGTGTGTGTTGACGCAGATCAACTCAAACGAGCTTTAGGACAGCCGGCTCTTTCCCTCGCAGCTGTTTTTGACTACAACTGGGCACGGAGCAAGCCTTCAGCTCGGCTTCCGCCCACCTCTGAACAGGCTGGTGTGCCTGGCCCCACATCTCTTTGTCTTTTCTTAGCTGGCCGGGTGGTCTCGCTCCTCTAGGGAGAGGGTTTGTGTCTGCAGGTGGATCTCGGGAAGCTGCAGGCCCAGTAATGGAGGAAGGGGTCCTGGGAAGAAAGAGCAGCTCGTTCTCCCGGGGGATGACCGGATCCTGTCTCCAGCCTTGTCCCACAAACCTCAGAAAACTGGGCTCTGGGGACAACTGAGTCTCTGTGTCCCCTGACGAAACTCCTGCAGGCTGGGGTGCTGGGCGCCCCCTTGGCCTCTCTTCCCAGGTTAGTGACCTGGCTAAGTGCAGCCGCGGGACGCAGAGAGCGTCTCCGGGGCAACGGATGGGCGGGGCAGGACGGGAGGGGGGGCGGAGTTAGGCTAAAATGGCCTTTGGGATTGGGCAGCTCCCAGACTCTTTGAGCACAGAGGGGTGATGCTTGGGGGGGGGGGGGGGGGGGGATTGTTGAGTGGCCGTGGCCTGCAGGAGGAGCTCGGTCTTTAAGCTTTAAGTGGACCCAACAGAGAAATCTCCACAATCCAAGAACTGAGTTTGAGAATGCCCCTAAACTGCTTCCTTCAGGGCACTTCTTTTTCTCAATATTTTTCAGTATTTCTCCTTCGTACACGAGCTTGATGGAAAGCCCACAGATTGGCATCCAACATCACCCTTAACCTCACGAAACTATCCATCGAAGTCAACAAGCCATTGTCCTCTTCCTCAGCCTCCACAGAAATGACTTTACCAAGCCTGTCTCTAGAACCACAACCCGACTTTGAGTTGTGGTCAGCTAAGAAGTCTAAAGTCTCTTGGAATTAGTCTGTCCTTATTTGTTCTCATTTCTAAAACTTAGTTTAATTTTTCCCTGATGGAGCATCTTGTTTAACTCTTCTTGCTCATAGATGTCTTTACTCTATGAGTCCATCTTCCCTGAGAGTGTGAGATCCGTGTAAATGTGGGCTTTAATCTTCCTTTTCTTGTCTAACTTCCTGTAGTAGCTCCTCTGTGGGGGCTGTGGTGTGATATTCGTTCACACAGGTTTTGAATGAACTGGGTGAATGACAGGATAGACGCGAGTTCCTCCGGTTGACTCGTGTTCTGCATGTAGAATTCCAAGGGGAATGGGGGCAGATACAAATTGCCGTTTGAGGCTGTCACTGACCTGCTACACCCAGAGTGCCTTTTGATCTTTGCTGCAGAGACAGGGATTTAGGATATGTCACACACTCCCCAATGCCACCTCCACTGCTCCAGTGATGCCACCGCATCCTAGCCACTCCCCCACAACAGATCTCAGTGCGGTTTTGACACCTCACTCATAATTCTGATAGGAAAACTTTCCTGAATCCTTCTTGTTTGGCTCGTGTGTCCCCATGCAACACTGAATAAAGAATATTCTAGACAATTTCAATCCTTTCAGGCTGGTATTGTCCTTTGGCTAAGGGACTGTGACACTTAGAAAGTACCCTCTTACCTTGCCTAGTCCGGCGCTCATGGCGAGAACTCTAAAGCCGGTTTCCCTGTCCTTCTTCCCTACGTGACCCCTAAGAAGATCTATGTTGTCAACGGCAATCACACATCTCAGTGGTTTAAAACATCAAAGTCATTTCTGAATCACACTATGAGCTGTCCACAGGCAACCTTGGGTTTTGCTTCCTCGGTACTGCCACAGGAGAACTGGGCTGAGAGGACCGTCGCCTGCGACATGACTTACCCGTGACAGAGAGATGATAATGGAGGAAAATGGCCCATTGGCTTCGAAGGCCTGCTCAACTGTCAGAAAAGAGGAAACTGGAAACTCCTACGAATGATGGCCACAGTGACTTTTTCTGATGAAGTCTTACGTGGCTGAGGCTGGCCCGGAGCGCCCGATTTTCCTGAGTGCTGCGTGTGTAGGTGTGTTTCACCAGACCTGCTCAATTCTCCTGTATCCTTTTTTGCTTAGACATTAGGTCCTTGCAGTCAGTTTCCCATATCGTTCTTCACATTCAGATAACTGTGAGCTATTGCTTTGAAAGTATTTTCCCCTTTAGATGTTTTCTTCTTTGATTCTGTTTATTAATGTTGAGCTCCTGCTTTGAAATTTTAACCCCAACAAATATGATGTTTCATTTTTTATTGTTGTTAACCATTTTGTTATGTTATCTGTAACATTTAAAAATGTCATTTGTTAGTCCCTTGTTGATGCTTTTGCATGTGGAAAGAAATATGTTTAGTATTTGGGAGGTTGCTTCTATTGCTCCTTTAGACTTGTTCGGTTTTTCAAAGCAGGTTTTCACTCTGTAGCCTTGGCTGTCCTGGAACTTGCTCTATAGACCGGATTGGCCTCGAGCTCACAGAGATCTGCCTGCCTCTCTGCCTTCTGAGTGCTGGAATTAAAGATGTGTGCCACGACTGCCTGGCTTAGAATTCTTTTAATTGTGTGTATGTGTGTGTGTGCGCATGTGTGTGTGTGCGCATGTGTGTGTGTGTGTGTTTGTTTCTCTGTGTGTGTGTGCACGCGCGTGCGCATGTAGAGGTCAGAAAACAACCTGGTTCAGTTAGTTCTTTCTTGTTTCTGTGTGGCCCAAGGATCAAACTAAGTTCCCAGGGTTAGAGACAAGTGCCTGTACCTTGCCATCTTGCTGATCCAGGATAGCGTTCTAGTTGGAGGTGCTGGAAACCAGCCCCAGCCTCACCCCCATACACGCTAAGTGTTTACTTTACCTCTGAGCTCTGCTGCCACCATTTTTAATAGATTCTTTTTCATGAGCAGAATCTCTTCTCAGTTATCAGATTTTTAAGACTGTATTTTTTTCTATAAATTATATTTGCCTGTAGGAAAGTTTTTCCTTGTTTAATGTTGACATTTTTGCATAGCCTATTTTCCTTGGCTACTATAGTGATTATCAGTAGATTCAGCTTCCAGGAGCAGAAATCAACAACAGTCCTAACATCTGATTTATAGCTTAACTGGGTATGGAGTCCCTTCTTAAGACAGTCTCTGCAACCCAGCCACAGCGTCTGCATTTTACCTGAGGATGCACACGCAGAAGAATACAGCATGCTTGGCATACCCATCCCAAGGTGAGCAAACTGCTGCTGTAGCCCACCAGCAAGGGCTTGGTCATGTGACCAAGCAGGCAGGAAAATGCCAGCTATATTTTGAATATCTATATGCCATGCCTTAGAATCTGAAGTTTGAATAGCAAAGCAAAAAAATATCTAATTATATTTGTCATTTATTCCATACAATCAGTGGCCTCCTTAGAAGGCAATTACTGCCTAAAAGTCATGTTTTGACTCTGGTCATCTTAATCTCAGATTCTACTTCTGTCCCTGGAGTTCCCAGGCCCAGCCTTTCAGGTTCTTATCTCTCTCCCTTAGGGAGACTCAACTACAGTGTATTTTATGAGCTGGGGCTGCTTGGAGAACCACATGTTGGTCCACAAACTATATTGTGGATTCTGTGTTATTATTTTAGGTAAGTCTGCTTACTGCTTCTCTTTGTCTCTCTATTTCTCTCTCTCTGTCTCTTCTCTCTCATTCTCTGTCTCTCTCCTCCCCATATGTGTGTGACTTTAGTGATTAAGGAAGAAGAGGGCATGAATTCGAGGGAAAATGGGGGCGAAGGAAGTGCTGTGGGGAGAGATAAGAATTGGAAATGATTTAAGTACAGCAATCATGAATGCAATTCTCAAAACATTAATTGCAAAGAAATACTCTTTTGTTGTGGGAATTCAGACTTGAAGAATAGCGGCTAATAGTTCATTGACTGTTCTCATATAATCTGCATGTTTGCTGGGGGAAGCAGATGGGCGGTAACTGGGTTAGCCGACAGTGACTGTACTGTTTTGACAGCACCTTTCGCTGGAGAAAAGTCATATGTGCACACACTGCTCCCACCTCTGTGTTATTAGATAAGATGAAAATAATTTGCTTTTGCCTAGCAGGGCTAACTGTACTTTTATTTTCCAGTGTAGTAGTAATTTGTCAACTGTGGCTTTTGTGTTCTGCAATTTCGACTCTAAGAGACTTAATTCTCTGTCTCTGTCTGTCTCTCTCTTCCTACCCCTTACTCTGGGACACACACAATCATAGTGGCTCAGCACACGGATAGGCATTGTAAAAACCAAGAGTGAGAAACAGCCAGTGTTCTCCGTGCACATTGTGATGCAGTGATCTTTCATCTCAGTGGCATTTGTTAAGGGCTGATATCTAATGGCTGGATACTACAGGGTGGAGGTAACTTCCCACAGTCTTTTCATCTCACCAAATGCTTGTCTATTTTTGATGTTGTTGGATTTATCTTTACTGATCTTTTTTAAAGTGCTTGCATTTGTGTTGTTTATGTGTGTGAGGTTCAGTCTCTTTCTACCGTGTGAGTCCTAGGACCTGAACTCAGGTCATTGGACCGGCAGCAATCACTTTAACCTGCAGAGTCATCTCACTGGCCCTACTGCCTGCTTTTTACCTCAGGTGGCCTGATATGAATTACAGTCTCTCACCATCTTTATAGCTCACTCTATCGTGAGAAAATCATGGTTCTTGTTTAGGATCTGCCTTGAGCTGCATCTGGCTTCAAAGTGGTTCAGCAAGCAATCCCACAATACCATGCACTCCAGTAAATCTCTTGCGAAGAGAAATCCAATGAGGAATTGTCTAAATAAGGTTGACCTGCGCTGTGCCTGTAAGGGATTTTCTTAACTGGGATAATAGATGTAGGAAGACCCACCCTGGGTGAGAATGGCTCTGTTTCGAGGGCTGGTCCTAGACGACCTATAAAGGAGGGAGCTGCCGGGTGATGGTGGCGCACGCCTTTAATCCCAGCACTCGGGAGGCAGAGGCAGGCGGATCTCTGTGAGTTCGAGACCAGCCTGGTCTACAGAGCTAGTTCTAGGACAGGCTCCAAAGCCACAGAGAAACTCTGTCTCGAAAAAAAAAAAACCATTAAAAAAAAAAAGGAGGGGAGCTGGCTGAGCGCTGGCAAGCCTGCACAAACACATTCTCTCTCTGCCTTTGACTGGGGTTGTAGCTGGATGCTCAAGCTCCTGTTGCTTCAACTTCTCTGCAGTGAAGCACCTGGGCCTGTGAGCTGAAGGAAGCCCTTCCTGCCCTGAATCACTTTGGTCAGCTTACTATAGCACAGCAAAAGAAAGGTAACTAGGACGCTAGCTAAAACAGACTTTTTGGTTATTATAAAGGGTACTATTTAATACCAATTAAGAAACTATTAAAATCTATATTTGTATTAAATAATGCAAATATAATAAATTTAACTTAGACACACACACTTGTATGTCTTAGTTACATAATTTGCTCACAGTAAG